TTGTCTTGATTTTGACTTGATTTTGCCTCCTTGTCGCGAAGGTTCGGGCCCGGCTGTCAACTGCAGGACCGCAGGGATCGAAAATCTGGCTATGTGACGGGGCGGGCCCATACGCACTGGGGTGGTATATGACCGGTCCCGTACGAGTGCCGCGAGTGACGCTTCAGACGAGCCAAAACTGACGCTTGGATTTCCAGTTTGAGCGTTTTTAACAGAAGATTTTTGTGGGACCGGGCCTTTCGGGACTCGCCTCGGCGCCCCCTACCACTCCCAACAGAGCAAACTCCTCTCGACGAAAACTGCAGTTGACAGAAAGTCCCTGGTGTTACAAGCGATACCCCTTGTAGATCTTTCTTTGAGCGATTACACCGTTCTACCATCGCGTGAGTATATAGGAGCATGTCGTGACTCTTTATATACCCAGTCTCCAGCGGACCAGGGCACTGGGACGCGATATTCCGCATCGGCTCCCTACGGGAGCCTGGGGTTCGTCTAACCCTCCGGCCGGCGGCCTCCGGCCGCCGGCTTCCGGGTGGAGGCCTTCGACAGGATTCTGCGATCAGCTACCATCGGCTCCCTACGGGAGCCTGAGGTTCTTTTAACCCTCCGGCCGGCGGCCTCCGGCCGCCGGCCTCCGTCCGTCGACCTCCGGACGGCCGCCTGCGGACGCCGACCTCCGGCCGCCTCCACCTGGCCTATGTACCCGTTATCGCACATTACGTTAGACCTTTCTTTGAGCGATTACACCGTCTACGCGTCTTCGGCACAGACTCCCCATAAAGTCTCATAAACAGAGGATCCAGGGGGGGGGGGGCGCTCGCAGAACCCGAATATTTTGGGGAGGACGCAAAAGCCCCAATCCTCGAATCCAGGGGGGTAAGTTTACGCGACGCGTGTCGTAGACGAGCAGGGCGTGGACGAGCAGAGTCAGACAAGGAGCCACAGAGATCGAACGGTTTCCAAGGGCATAGGACGCCGCGCTCCGAGTAAGCGCACCTAGGCGCGGGGGCGTTTGTCGAACGGGGGATCTAGGGGGGGGGGGCGCTTGCAGGACCGACTATTTGGGGGAGGACGCAAACGCCCCCGGCGCAAGCGTCCCCCCTGGACTCGAGCTTTTCCGAGCGCCCCCCTTGATGTGCAGTCTCGGCTGCTTCTTGGATTAAGTGGTTTTTCATCCCCCCCTAGCCTAGGTGCGCTTACTCGGAGCGCGGCGTCCTTTACCCTTGGAAACCGTTCGGTCTCTGTGGCTCCTTGTCTGACTCTGCTGTCCACGCCCTGCTCGTCCACGACACGCGTCGCGTAAGCCTGCCCCCTGGATGCGCCGTTTTGCATGTACGAGAGTACCCCCCCTACATCCTGTAGAAAACGCAGCGCCCCTCTACCGCTTCGTCCGCGCCTTGCTCTGCAGCCGGGTATCAATCTTAGGGCGTTTTTTTTTGGGGGGGGGGGGTTGCACGATCTTGGGACACGTTTGGGCTTGTCGCACCTTTGCCATCGACATCGACCTCAACAATGCTGTCATTTCATTCGACTCTGTGCCTCTGGGGGACCCGGTTTGAGAGACATTGAGAGCCCCGAGTCGAGAGGCACACGTGTTGTTTGTTGGTCGCGGAGAGCTGAAAAGCCCGGGACCGTTCTCCTTCTTGGTTTGTTTTACGGTCGCTGTTTCCGGCTCTCGCTCGTCGCGCGGCTGGGCGGCTCCGCCTCTGGGCTCCGCCTCTGGGCTCCAACAGCGGTTGTGAATATAGGGACTGATTTAAATCTTTTGAAATCCCACTCGGAACAAATTTTACTTTCGGGAGGAGACAGGGAGCTCGAGAGACGCTCGAGAGACGCCCGAGAGACGCAGAGCGCGCCCGTCTATAGGACCGTGCTCGTCGTCTCTACGCCGCGCCTAGGTGCGCTTACTCGGAGCGCGGAGTCCTTTGCCCTTGGAAACCGTTCGATCTCTTTGGCTCCTTGTCTGACTCTGCTCGTCCACGCCCTGCTCGTCCACGACACGCGTCGCGTAAGCTACCCCGTCGCGTAAGCCACCCCCCTCGTCCACGCCCTGCTCTTCCACGACACGCGCTGCGTAAGCCATTCCCCCTAGATCCCACTTCTCCCAAATCTTAAATATCTTCCTTATTGAGAATTTGGCACGCTTTTGGTTTTGGCTTTTGGTTTTTGATTTTTGATTTTGGCCGATGCTTTTCATTTTGGACTAGGAATTCCTAGGAATTCCTAAGTCTTTCGGGAATAAAGTGGGAAAGTGCTCTACAATTCTATGTCTTTATAAAGTACCTCGACAGCCAAGAAATCAGGAAATCCGAACATCAAGATTTTGCATCCCTGAAGAGTAGCGATGGATGACTTCCGATGACATGCTGCCTTAGCTCAGTTGGGAGAGTGCCAGACTGAAAATCTGTACATGTAGGAATTCATAGGTCTCGCGTTCGATCCGCGAAGGTGGCAAAATTTCAACGTCAAATCCCTTTTTGCCAACATCATCGCGGTCCCGATAAATTCTGAATATGTTCGTCGAATTTGCATCTTCGGCAATAATTTATTTTTTAATCTGCGTACCTTTCCGTAAAATTGTATCGGTCCCTTCGCAGCGCCCTTTCTTGGGGCTGTTTCGATCACACAGCTACCCGGGCCCCGCGACGCAATCGCAGAACGTGTGCGCTGTCTTGCACATGAACCAGAAGAGCCCTCTGGAGTGCGCGAGAATGCAGCGAACACGTGAGACTAAAATGCGGTTGATGCGGTGGGTCCGCGCGACGCGACGTGCGAACCTGCGTAGGGAGCTGACCACGGGGTAGTACTTCGTTGTTCGCCGGTCAAACTATCGACGCGCGTCGAAAATATCGGCAGGCCAACCCTAGCGCAGCCTCTCCGCGTGGGTGAATCTGTAAGTAAGATATAGTGGCCAATGGCAACCCGTTGCCATTGGGATCTTAAAGCGTAAGCGAGGAGACAGGCCGCCTGCACGCTGCCCTCGACGGAGCTCAATAATGGGATGGATTTGATTGAGCATTCTAAGTTTTAGCGACACGTGGGAAGTTGCCCTGTTGGCCCGGGGTTTTCTTGCCAAAGGACACACAGCCTTCACCTTCGAACGTGGGCGGCGACGCGCGCAGGCGGGACCCTGCCGCCCCACGGAAACCCACATGGGACTCCACCTGGGGTCCCATACCCCGTACGGGGGAGTCTGGACCCCACGCGGCTAGTACTTAGGTCTGGGTGCCCTCCACGGACAGATTCTCGATATTCTTATCAGGCCGTCCTTCGCGGCCGCCCGCGCGCGGCGGGGTGCCGCCGGGCCGTTTCGCCCGTCGCGGAAGGCCGTCGCCCACGAAGGCCAAAGGCCGTCGCGCACGCAAAGGTGGCCGCGCGGGGCAAGCCGCCAAAGGGCCGATCAATTGCACGCCGCCGCCGCGCCATCAAACCAGCGCCTCGGCGACGAGGGCGTAGTCTCGGGCGTCTGGCCGCGCGTATTGCGAGGCGTCGTCGGCGTAGCCGTAGCCAGAGTCTGTGGCCGCGTCGCCAACATCGAACCCAAGCCCATACTCGTCCACGTCCACCCCATACGCGTCCACGCCGTACGCGTCCACGCCGCACGCGTCCACGCCGCCCCGCGCGGCAGAGCCCTGGGCGGACGCGCCGCCGTCGCGGTGTTCGGCGCGGTGCTCGTTGCGCGGCGGCGACCGCGGCGAGTCATCGTCCGAATTAAACTCAAAGTCCAGCGAGCCAATCTCGAGGCGGAGCCACTCGCACTCGACCCACCGTTGGCGGGCAATGTGAGCGTAGTTGGCCTAATTGCGGATGGGGCCAGCAACGGCCAAAGGCGCAAAGGCGCCCAACGCCCCCAGCAAAGGCGCACCTTGGTCTCGCCCGTCGAACCGGCCTAGGGCGGCCGCGGTGTGCGGGGCTTTGCAGCGCGGGGTGGCACGGGGGCAGAGCAAGGAGAAATATTGGGGGGGGCTCACATGTCGGATTTGAGCGTCCTCAAAGGCAATTTCGAGCTCTTCCAGCCGCTGCGCCAGCGCCTCGCGCACCGAGTTCGACCGCGGCCGCGCCGACTTGGACCGCTTTGAGTAGGAATGCATGTTGCGGGGCGCGACGAGAAGGGACTTCCGGAAATTGCTCGAAAGTGTTCGGATGCGACTTTTGCGCACTTTTCGGGTTTCGGGTTTTGGGGGCGAGGGCCAGGCACACCCGGCGAGGCGCTGGCCTCCCAGGCTTCCGTAGGGAGCCGATGGAAGAACGGTGTAATCGCTAATAATGATCGCCAACTAGTGCGATAACACGCCACAGGCCGAAAAAAACACGGAATTAGGAGAGGCCAATAAAGGCAATGTGGGAGTTTATTAAATCTAAATCGGGGTCTTTAAGTCCACCACGAAAGGGGGGAAACCCGGAAATATGGCGGAGGATGGCCAATGATTTCCG